CCCCCTGCCCCCCTCCCTTTATTAACAGGATTGTTGATCTTAATCTGCCCTAATGTTACCCGAGTCTGCTTGGATAAAAACATAACACTTTGAGTGACTTATTTATAATCATTTCTCTGTCCAACCTGTTGCTAACTGTACCACCTCATTTTGATATGATTCTGTATAATTAATTTACAGCGGAAGATGCAATGCTTAGGCTTGTCTGTGAGAGGGCCAAGGTAGAAGATGGACAGTCACTTATGGTATGAAACAATTTGATGAATGTGAAAGCTTATTTACACATTGCCAGTGTGACTTAATGACGTAGTAATTTGGACACTATTTTTAAACTCAGTTTTCCCCAGTAAAAATTACACTTGGCCACTAGCAAGGTTTTTGAATAGTTTACCTACATCTGAAGTAATAATACCAATCAATCCTAATTGTATGCCCTGCTATGTTTTTTTAAGCATAAGTGGCCATGGGTACTGTTATTTAAATTGGTTGTATATGTGGGGGCTGGAAATGGTATCATACATAAAGAGTTTCTTCCAAATTGCATGCTAATATTAATGAACATGAAAGGGGGTTAATTGTGGGGGAATTTATTATAGTTTTATTCAGTTTATTATTTTAGTTAGGTGGGTTGGCCTTTTACCGGATGGGAGCATGAAATGGACTTTCTATGACATGAACTCAAAAGTAGTCTAAAATAATAATATTGGAATGTTAGAAGCAGATAAAAAAGAATGATTCTTTTGATAGGACCTAGGATGTGGCTGGGGAAGTCTAGCACTGTGGCTGTGTGAGAAGTACCCCAACTGTAAAGTAACTACTGTATCAAACTCCAGCACACAGCAAGAATGGATTGAATCTGAGGCTGGCAGGAAAGGCTTTATTGATAGGATCACCTGCATTAAGTCAGATGCTAATGTATTTGACACTCACTTAAAATTTGACAGGATTATTTCTGTTGAAATGTTCGAGGTAAGAAATGCACTCCACTTATGAATCTTCATAGTTTATCTCTTGTTATATTTCTTCGGAAGGTAAAAGTAATGAGGTGATGTATATTATTACCTTTGTTATTTTTATTTTTGTCTTTTCAACCACTTGTGTCACTTAAGTAATTGATTTTCTCATTGCTCGCCTTCTGACCCGTTAGATTTGCCTCTCAATTTTCTTCATTTGCTTTAATTTCGCAGCACATGAAAAACTATGAACAACTTATGTCCCGAGTAGCCAGCTGGCTTAAACCGTTCGGTTATCTGTTTGTCCAAATTTTATGTCACCGTGAGTTTGCCTATAACTTCAACACCAAGAAGAATTCTGACACGGAATGGATGGCGCGAAATTTTTTCAGCGGCGGTACCATGCCTTCGTCAGATCTGCTTCTATACTTTCAAAAGGATCTGTGTATTGAGAAGCACTGGCAGGTTAATGGAAATCACTACGCGCGTACCTTGGAAGCTTGGCTTGTCAAAATGGATCAACACGCAAGTAAAGTGCAGCGCATATTTGAGAAAACATACGGCAGCGATGAAGTTGATCAGCAAGTTTTCAATTGGCGCATGTTTTTTATTTATTGTGCTGAAGTCTTTGCATTCAGGGGTGGTAACGAGTGGATAGTCGCACATTACCTCTTCCGAAAAAAGATGAACAGTAGTTTGTAGCCAAAACATTGGTCTTTTGCGTGTATTGTTTTAAATATATTTGAACAAGGGATGGCTTTTTTGCCCAATTGGTTTGTACAGTAGTGTTGTAGCTTAATGTCCCATACATGTTGGGTTTTAACTTCCCAAAGTGAATATACGTTTTGCAAATTTTAGCAGAACTTTCTCATACGTCATAGCAATCTTCGTATGACCTTGAAAAATGGTTTTCGTAACTGTTCGTTACTTTTTCGATCAAATGGTGGACCCGTCTTTTTTTCTTAAAAAGAAAACCAAGTACCAAGTTTTAAAAAATGCTTTTGAGCAATATTTCCTCAGTTGGGAAAACTTTGCGTAATCCCCTATCCCTTTTTTCCATTTTCTTACTCTCCTCCTTCCCCCCCCCCCCCCCCCCCCCCCCCCCCCCCCCCCCCCCCCCACCCCCCCCCCCCCCCCCCCCCCCCCCCCCCCCGCGCGCGTCCGTCGCACCCCAACACCACCGCTTTCTTTTTTTGTTTTTTTTTTTTTTTGTTTTTTTTTTTTTCTTTTTTCTTTTCTTTGTGTTTTTGTTTTTTGTTTTTTTTTTTTTGTTGCTCTTTTTTTTTCTGTTAGGGCT